GGCTAGTGAAAAATTTAATACAGTTTTTAATACTTCTGCTACAGTTTTCCCTTTTCAAATCTTTGTCTCTTTTAAGTTTAAAATTTTTCGATTTAGTAATCCAAATAAATTTTGAATTTGTAATACTACTTTAACCAGGGGTTAAAACTTTTACTAAACATTTTTAAAAAGTTCCATTTTAACAGTTTCTGTGTAACTTTACTTTTTTGTTTTTATACTTCTTATATTTCATTATTTCAGTGGTCTCTATTTTTTTTCCTGCTATCTTATATATCCTAACTTTGTTACCATTATTTTATTCTTTCTTTATCTATAGATCATATATTTGCCTTTCCATGTATTTATTAATATCAAGTTTACTCTACCTACATGTTATTACAATTTAGATATTATTACTTTTACTGTCTACTAGTTTCTCATATTTATGTTATCTTGGCTTTTCTTGACCCAAATGAAGGCTTGAATCTTGGGTCGAAACTTTGGAAAAAATAAATATAATTTATTGAAGTGAAAACTTCTTTAGTTTTGTACTTTTTTTGTGAAGAGTGAAGTAGATTAAGCCATCAGATCTTTGTGTAACGCTCGAGTAAAGTCGGTTGGAGTCGACTATTTGAATTATTTTTGCATATGGATTAAAATATAGCTATCAAAGGAAAGTTCATGATTTCATCGTTTTCGTAATCATCTATTATCCAAAATTTTATCTTAATGCAACACTGTGTTAGAGATGCGAAAAGGAAAAAAAATTAGTGTGGAAAACCAAATGATAACAAATTTTCTTGAAGATATGGATTAAAATATCTCAGAAACTAAAAATCGGAACTCCATACTGTTAGCGATGAAATTGTTTAGCATTTATATTTCATATTATTAATCTAGCCTTGTTGATGTTTTCAAATTTATTGTAAGGTTTTAAGCACACATTTTTGTTTCTTTTATATTTATTTTGTTGTTTGTTTGATTGAACAAACCAACCAACTTATCTGCAATACATCCACGACAATCAATTATTAATCCACTGCAATATATTTTTCATAATGATTTTATGTAGTTTTGTATTTAATTTAGATGAATACAATTTATTTATTTTGTTTGTTATGGATGGTTTTCTTGTAGTTTGTTGATTATTTTTAAAGCAAGAAGAGAATTAAAGTCATATGATACTTTTTTTAGTTAGGACTAGCGTTGAGAGATAGCGCTGGGGGCACTACTTGGAGCTGTATAAGGCGGCCATATTTATTTTTAGCCCACTCATAGCCAAGTCTCAGCTGTTGGTACATGTTGCCTCGTCTGTTCCCGCATCTTCTTCTTCTTCGTGGACTCCACCTCTCTCCCGTTCTTCTTTGCGATAGCTCGATGGCCGAGCTGTGGAGGTGCGACTTCGAGGTCTTCGGCAGGGTGCAGGGAGTCTTCTTCAGGAAGTATACCCAGGGTAAGGCACAGGAACTCGGCGTGAAAGGTTGGTGCCAGAACTCACCACGAGGTACGGTAGTCGGTGCCATCGAAGGAGAGAAGAGGAGCTTCAACATGATGAAGGATTGGTTGAGCAGGGTCGGAAGTCCATCAAGCTCCATCGACAAAGCTATATTCAAGGATGAGAAGCAAATACAACAATACAGCTTTAATGATTTCTCTATTAAACGTTAAAATCGTCCATTTTATACGTCTTTTGTATTTTATTGTAGAAATTGTTGTTTGTAGCTCTTTCAGTATTTATTGTTATGCTTCTCATAAATTTAATTTTTCATTATCAGCTGATTTTTCTAGTCTTGATTGAAATATGAATTTCAATATCTTCTCTTTATAACAAAGGTTGTACCAAATATTCCTCAATATTGTACAAATGTTGGTATTATATTTATTATTTTGTTAAATAAATATTTACTTAAAAGTCTTTTTTTTTTTTATGAACTTGTAAAAACCCAGCCTTATAAAAACTCTATTTTTTTATTTTTTATTTTAAATGTTGCATGAGATTTTTTTTTTAATTTATACAATTTAAATATTATCGTGCTATAATAAATATATATTTTTTAAATACTTCAATTTTTTTTAACATATATATTTAATTATTATTTTAATAAATTTATCATTATGAAACATTATTTTTGGAATGAAATAATTTCTTTTAATATATTCAAGAAGCTATTATTTTTTTTTTTAGTATTAAGAAAAGATGGATTGCCATGGCTCAAAACTCACGCAATGACATTGATTTTTTTATAAATACATTTATAGATAATTTAAGAAATAGATTCTTACTTTAATTATTATATTATATAAAGTAAGTACATATATTGATAACAGAGGTATTAATAAGTTTCTAATTTAAATTTTTGTTTTAAAATTATTTGTAATTTTAATTTTGTGACAAATGATCTCTAGATTTTTTTTTTTTTTTTTAGAAAAGATCATCAATGTTTTGCTTTCTACGATTAACAGAAGAAAGAAATTACGTCAAGTATTTAAGTATAATATTATTAAAATCTATTACAAAGTCTTCATCTGTTGAATCTGTCGTAAATAAATTATTTCAGCACAAAGTTTAGAAAAAAATTACAAGAGAATTCAAGAGAAAAAATTAGACACGTAACGTTTTATTTATCGGTGAACATTCAACCAAAAAATACCAAGTATAATAAAAAAAAAACTATAAAAATTTCTTTAGATCAGTTTTCTTCGTTTATAAATGTTTACGTTAAGCAACGAATTGTACAAACTTAACAGTATTTCTTAAAAACCAAGTACATCGTTATAGGAAGCTATAACGCCTTCTCCCACACCCCATATTAACTTAAAACTTTATAAAAAAGTAAATATTTTATTGGTTAAATTACTAAAATTTAATTTTTTTTTTTGTCGATACAATAATGTGTTTGACTAAGAAATAAAAACATTGCCATGTCAATATTTGCAACAAGTAAGCGAAAAGTTCCAATCCAAAAGAGTTATAAAATTATTAAGAGTAAATAAAAGTATTTCTTTAACAATAAATATACAGTATTTTTAAATATTGAACTATAATCTACCAGAAACCATACTATAATACCATGATTAATAATATTGTGACGAAATTGCTGGTAACTCCTCGAGTTTGCGAATCGATTCGTCGGTGACCCTCAATTTAAAATTTAATAATTATTGGAAACTTTGAAGACTATTGATAAAAACTACATCATTTTCTTTCCTCTTACTTTATAAATAGCTTTTCAACCTATTTTATTTTAAAAATATAATAAAATAAACTTATAAAAAAAATGGTAAGTATACATGTATATGTCATGATTTCATCACATATATATTTAATAAATTAATGAAGCAAGTAAAAAAAAATCTTGATAATTTCAAAAGTTGCATTTTGTTTAATAAATGCAAGATTAAACATAATGCTTAGTAAATTAATTAATAAATGCAATTATTTTGGATAGAGACTTGATTTTTATGCATGACAAATATTTGCAATTTAATATCTATAAATTTGCAATACAATTTTAAAAAATTTACTATCCTATTATAATTTTTGGTAATTAAGTTTAAAAACTAATTCAAGAAAGGAAAATTATTAATTCGTTGTATAAATTAATTAAAAATATTAATTATATAATAAAATAAATAGGTTCCTCTTTTTTTTATAGCACGAAATATTTTTATATTATAAAAAAAAAAATAATTTAGAGTGGTTATGAAGTTTAATCTTGAAATTATAAGGATTAAAAAAATATTAGGATTTGCCGTAAAAAATTTCTTTAATGAGTTAGCCGACGTTTCAACCCAAACGTGTGGGTCTTCATCAGGGCTAAATATTAAAAAATATAAAATGACATAATCATTTTAATTTTATTTTACTTATTTATTCTTATTACAGTTATTCTTTACTATTATACTTTTATATTTCTTAATTTTTAGCCCTGATAATAACCCATCTGTTTGGTCGAAACGTCGGCAAACACATTAAAGAATTTTTTTACTGCACATCATGACAATTTTTTTTATCTTTAAAAAAAAATAACCCACATGTTTAGCATTACTGAATACAATTGAGACTAGTAGATTTTTCCGAATAGGAACATAAAATGTACTCAATTTAATTAATTTAAATAAAATACACGAAGAATTATTAATACAGTTTTAATTTAAAGAAACAATAAAGTATGTCTTTAAACAAAAAAAATATATTAATTAAAAGTCAAGGGATCATGTTCCATTATATATTATTCTATGTAAGTCGAGTTTATTTTCAAAATTATTTTTTAAATTTCTGGATCTTCCTTATTGTAACTGAAAAATTAAAAGAAAAAAGAAGTGTTTTAAAAAATTCAAATGAGTGCATTTCTCCACAAGTAATAATAAAATCTGGTGTGTCCACTCACACGACTTTCCTACCTATTTCAGAAAAGTTTTTATATCTTTACACATGTTCATGAAGAAACAAAAGAAAATTGAATTAGATTTATTTTTCCTGAAAATTGATCAAAGAAAAGATTAGAGTACGATTTATTTGATAAACTAAACCAATGTAAACCGACTTAAGGTAGATCAGTGTAAAAATTTCAATACTCTCTAATATTGCTGATTAACAACTTTTTGCCTCAGCTTAATTTTGTCAAACAATAATTTCTGTTAAAAGTAAAGAAATAGTGAAGCTTATGTGATGCGGTCAACAGATTTTCTTACTTTCGCTTAGTAATTTTTTTTCTCTCATTCAACCCTTTCTGACACCAGGATATGAACCAATAATCTTACATTGGAAATTGTATAGCTATAACTTTGTTAATAGTTGTCCAAAATGGACGATTTTTATATAGTTTTATAGGGAATTTCATTACCTTTCAAAAAAAACCTAGTATAGGTAGACAAGTAAAAATGTTAAAATTGGTACGATATTCACTGATTTAAATAGATATTCAGAAAGCTGTATTAGATTATTTTAAAAAATATATGTTTTTGCATAAAAATCAAGTCTCAAATTATGAACTATAAACTATATAGTTAGTATGTACCTCAAGCAAAAGCATTCAGCTCCGATGCTTAAGGGAACTGACAGAGTACAAGCAGATCTTCCAATCCATCGTCGAAATTTTTGTGATAAATAAACAAAAAACAAAAAGCGAAAATAAAATGCCAACACACACTCAAAAAAAAAAAATCGATTCTCTTAAACTAAAAAAAAAAAATGTCGGTAAAGCTATTGGCAGTGTTAGGTATTGTTAGTATCCAGTGAGCTCAGCGAATGTCGAATCAAGATCGTCTGTGATCAGCTTGGCTTTTTCCTTTTCGGCGAGGAGTAAATCTGCAAAAAAAGATATTGCGTTTTGGTAATATAAAGCGAAAAAAAAAATCGCACACATAAACCGAAAATTAAAACATGCGACATGAGCGGAAACACAATTAACTGCTGTTAAGCTGTTTATTTTTTGTTGTTTTTAATTTTTTTTGTTGTATTTTTTTGTAAAATAGTTAATATATTTTTTGAAAAACAGCAAGTTGTGAATGCACATATCGTCTAGAAGGCAGGGAAGGAGCAGTGAAATTGATTACTTCCTGTAATTTCGAGCTTTCAACCTGTGACCCTTAATGCCCCACAATGGAGGCATTTCAGAAAATTTACCACAAAAAAAGAAGGAAAAATACAAATTTTAAATATTTAAAACGAAATTTCAAGTATAAAAATTAAGCCATAGAGTAACTTTGAACCCTCGATCAATTACATTAATAATTAAGTTAGAAAAGTAAAACGAAAAAGAAAGAACCCATGAATTTTCTCTCAGTATTTGTTTTTTCATCAGATTTTAAATTTTCTAATTAAATGAAAACTAATAAATATTTGATTAATTTTTGTTATACCAGTCATAAATAATCGATTTATAAATAATAATATAAATAAAACATCACCTGCGAAAACAAATGCAGATATTTTTTTATTTAGAAGCTAATTTATAATTTTATTTAACCTTTTTAATTATAATACATAATTTTTTTCACTAAAATATAATTTTGTTGAACATTATTTATTTTCAAGTGATGGTATTAAAGCCTGCTTAAATTACTATCTGGGTCACCTATTAAGATGATTTAGAAGTTATTGAACGTAAAGTTTAGATGTTAATAAATATAACCATTAATTCAGTTTTTAACAATTTTATTATTATTTTTATAATACACTTTTTACATTAAAATTTAATTTTTTTAACCTTCTTAGTTTAAGTACTTAGCCACTTTATTGTTAAGTGAAAAGATTAAGTAAAATTTTTATCTAATTTTTTTTTCCTTTTAGATTTATATTTATATTAAAGACTTTCAGATTTTTCATACATATTTTTAATATTAATGATTTGAATAAGAAAAGTTGATTGACAAAAATATTCACACGAAATCTCAAAGAAAATTTCTAAAACCCACATTTTCTAGGCTAATTATTTTTAATAAAAAATTTTCACTATATATATAACCCATTAATCAAATATACTTGTATATTTTTATGTATGCTTGTATGATTTAAATTTTAAAACCATAATTATAAAAAAAATTCTCTAATTAGGCCATAATAAAATAGCATGTAACATGAATTTAAAAATGAATCCTAAAACATCTATATGAATCTTGAACAGTGATATACATGTACGATATGCTGAAATATGGTAAGAGCATATTTGAATTCCTTTTTTTCATTTCGTTTTTATATTCACATTTTTAGCGATTTCTTTATTTACTTTTATCTTGAAAAATAAATTTATAAAAAATTAAACTAAATCTTAAGATATCAGTGAACAACACCAGTGAATCAAAAATCAAATAAAATGGTTTTTAAATTTGTCAAAAACGTTAAGAAAAATACCAATAAATATTACAAATATATTTTTATTATAATTTGATTAATTCTATTATATTTTTCTATTATAATTTGATTAAAATAACATTATATTATTATTATTTTCCCAGCTTTGTACTTAAAAGTATTGTTGGGTTTAGTTTGCATGTAATATATATTTGTAAGTTTAAACTATTTAGTTTTCAATGACTCCTTCTCCGCCGAATATATTTAATAAATTTGTTGAAATATATAATAATACAAATATATGAAATAAGAGTATATATGTATTAGAGTTAGAAGCGAGTTTTAGAAGAGAATTATATTCCGACTCGTTACCTTCAAGCCTGTCGACTTCCTTCTGCAGCTTCTTAACTGTCTTCTCAGCGAATTCAGCGCGAGCCTCAGCCTAAATAAATATTTATTTATTAATACCAAATAAATATATAAATAATAAATTAATACATTATATATGTATATATATATATAATATTTATTTAATTATTAAATACATGAAGATTTAAGCGGATAAAGTGACAAATAACATATGCATAGCTCTAAGAAAATTTAAATTAAAGTTTAAAACATTTTTTTAAGAAAGCTGGTATTTCTGACAGTTACTTGAATGGAGAAAAATATTATATTGTGATGAAAAAGAAAATTCAATTTACAAGGTTCCTGTAAAACTTGTAAATTGAATGGTGTAAAGTGGTGTCAGCGACAATCAATCAAACCATTCTTAAATTCATCGATGGAAACAAATGATGATAGAATCCGTGTTCTTTTATTCAGTAATTGAATCAGCAATGGATCAGTAGATCCTACTATATTATAACCTAAGTGTTGTTATTTCCTTATGTATATGTTTTATCTTTCATGCATTTTGTAACCATTTAGGAGTTTTAGCCTTCCGTTAACATCTATCAGATCATTCTTAAACTCAGTATATAAAGCTATCCATCGTTGCTGGATTCAATCGATTGATGAAATCTATCGATGTACTTAGCGCTGAGTTTAAGAAATTGCTAATAATTATCGCAATTATGCACTGAAAGAAATCAGATGTATTAGGATTTTGATTGTGACACATAGAGTCTATTTTCGTCAAGTATGTTTGGGTCCAAACATGTGTTTAAGATATATATATTTCACATTTTTACTTGACAAAGCAAAGCGATGCGAAGATTATGAGTTGTTCGCTAAAAGCTATGTAACTTTTTTAAGCGAATGACTGGATCGATTTCTAAGTTTGATGGTTCAAAATTTTCGGTAATATCCCGTAAGTGATTTGAAACAATTTGAGCTAAAAACGCTGACGCATTATTCAATAATATATGTTTTTTTTTATTTTTTGAGCTAAGGATCTATATTTAAGATTGATGACAAATCATTATGCTATATGATAATTCAGTTCTTCAGGAAATATTTTTTAAACAAAAATACAAATAATAACCTTTTTTTCTGAATATTGAAATTTTGGAAATGATAAAGTATATCCTCGAGCATATTTTCGATATGCTGTTTCCTGTTTTACGTATTATCACTATATTTATTTGGTATATAAAGAGTTACATATTCAAAATATTATTTTTAGTTGAATTTGATTTTTTTTTAATATTTGCCAGTATGTTTTTATGTCACCAATTAGTTCTACTCATCATTTTCTTGTTAGAAAATCACTTAACAAAACATCAATAGATTTCAATATTTTAATGTTTATATTGAAATCTTTGACTAACGGCTAAATTAGTGACTTCTGTAATAAAGAAGAAAATTTTTATCTTTTAGCACTTATCAGCTTTATCTACTAGCGGGTAGAGGCGTTAATCTTCACTTAAAAACTTTATCAACACAGTTAAAAGTCAAGTATTGTGTTTTTGTGACTGGAAGAGTTAAATATTAAATTTATAACTTTATCCACAAGAAACTTCATATATGTAATTATTTAAATAATTTATTTAGTACTAATTGTTTAATATTTTATTTTATAAATAAGAAATAAGTTTGTGAGACTCACCTCCTTCAGTTTTACAGACAACTGCTTGATTTGTCTCTTGTACTCTTCGACTCTCTGGTTCGCCTGAAAAAATAATATAATAATATATTAATAATAAAAATAATTTACAATAAAAACGTTTTTATAACTATGTTTAACTTTTTTTATTATGCTACATAACTATCAAAGGGAGTGAAAATAGGGAATATAATTTAATTAAATTGATGCAGAATAATTGTTTCAAGAATCTATAATTTTACTCCAATTTTGACCCAAATCTTACAAGCTGTTATTAATATAATACGTTAGAGCAACCGGTAGTGTAAAATAGTGAACGGTATATAATGAAATGGATATTTTACAACCCCGAAAATTCATATAAATTTTATCAAATTCGAATCAACTTCAGTAACATAACAGATACTGTATTAGTAAGAGACAGTTTCCAACTCATTAACAGATTTAAACAGTTTTCTATGCTCTATAGAGAGTTCAAATATGAATAGATTTGCAATTAAAACACTTAGGAGTGTGGTGACTGAAACTTATCATATCGTCATATCTAGCTACAATAGCCGAGTAGCCAGTTAATTTATAAATGGAGTAAGTATGAGATTTGTTTTAGAGAGAATTCATTATCATTTTTCTTTAGTTGATAAGTTTGAAATTTTGATTCGTTCATTTGTGGTTTGTTAATGCTAAGTTTAAAACTGTTCAGAATTTTTTTTAGTTTTTTTTAACTCTATAAAAAAAATATTCTCCCCAAAAAATTGCGTCTATTACAGATGCAATATACAACTGCTATAATTTTCTAGATTTTTCATTAATAATTAACTAATTGACAGTTAAAAAAAAGTCGATAAAACACTATTAGACTATATTTGCAGTCAACTTAATCCATATATAAAGATCCATCGTCACTACTTCAGTTCACATTAATGTTAAAAATTTCTCTTAAAGTTTCTAATATCGGTACATTTGCCTTAGGTGCTTTGTCGGCCATATAAATTTGACTGCAAACATTCGTTATGTGTTACCCAAAAGGTAAAATACGAGAAGAAATTTTTCATTATAAAAAAAAAAATTAACCTCCCGCAATAATACAGTATCTCTTCTATCTTCGACAATGAAGAAACTATCTTTTTCAATCCATATTAATTAATTATGTTATAAATAGAAAAATCCCAACTACAAAGCCAAGAATATCTTGAATATTTACCAAAAACCAATATCACTTATATCCAGAAAGAAAATAAATGATTGCTGTAGACATCTCACGAAGCCACTCAAATACATACTTTAACATAGAGTATGTATTTGAATGGCTTCGTGAAATTTCTAAAGCAGTAATTTTTTTATTTTTCTTTCTAGATATAAGTGGTCTTGGTTTTTCTGCACTGATGATGCCTGAATTGGTGAAACGTTTCCCAAAATCGGTCTTGATCTTGCACTTTGTAAGACCAATAAGAACGCCTCACTGTTGCAAGACCATGACCAAGACTGGTAAAAATAAAACGATTTTGTGAATACAAATTAAGGCAAAATAGTTACTAATGCTTGACAATTTTAGATACTATATGTAAAGAATTGGTATAACCGATATACTTTTGTATTTAACACTTATAATTTTTCGTTCGGGCTTGGTTAGGTTCTCCTATCTAAAAAATACAGTAATATCTCTATAGTAATAAGCTAATAGGTAACTATAAGACCGTTGCCAGACTCTTGCGCAAGACCAAGACTCGTATCGGTCTCGCATTTGGGCAGTTTTGAGACTCAGGGCTTTGAAATTTGGATTCTTCCATTTATAATATAATTACCTTATGTCTCTTTTCTAGCTTCGTGCTTATTTTTAGTATTATTTATTAATTAACGCGGTAATGGACTAAAGATGATATATTACCTTCTCTTCAGAAACTTCAAGAGATTTCAAGCTGTTTCCAACGACTTTAAGTTCTTCCTCCAGTTCCATGATCTTACTGCAAAATAAGATTCATGCCACAAAGAAATTATTAATTAGAATAAAAAAAACTTAAATTTATTTAAAAGCATGGTGAAGATATACTTACGAATCTCCAGATTTGACACGATCTTCAGCGACTTCCAGCTCATCTTCAACGAAGGCCAGTTTCCTTGCGACCTGGGACATAAGTACATAAGTTAGAATAATGTAATATTGTATAGTTCCGTATACAAAATTAAGTGTAAGGTTTACAAGATAAGGATACAGCGGGTCCATACATCCCTAATTTGATATCTCTTTAAGTCCCAATAGAATTATTAAACTGATAGAGCGAGAAAGTAACTCTCTCTCTCAATGCCAGACAAAGTAGGAAAATGGAGGAACTCAAAAACCGTGTGTATATTTAATATAATCTTCGCTAATTCCGCTTTACCTCACTCAGTTATTTCTCTGGCCAATTGAACGCTCAACTAAGATGTTATATGTTCGGTAATTCACCAAAACTATCTAAGTCTTGCTTTTGAATTTCCAAAGACATCTGTGAATATTTTTATTTATTTTTTACTTTCCTACCTATACTAGGTAAAGAAAGTATTGCTATCGGGTCTAATTTCCAACATGCGGTTTTCGATAAATCTATACGTTTCAGAGCTCTCTGAGTCCGAAAAACTCATTTTCAGTCATTGGTCTGTCTGTCTGTGCCAAGATTTTCTCAGAAACTATTGAATCGATTTTGTTGCTTCTTTTTTTATTTTGTAAGGTTTTGACTATTGATGCCTGTAACACAAATTGCGTGTTCCATGAGCGATAGCGGCTGCGCAGTAAGTGAAAAACTTATTTTTCTCTAGACTGTAGCGCTGAAACGGCTCTGACAATTTTGATGAAACTTTAACATATAATTTTCTCATTAATGTCCTTTAAATTTTCTTGCATGTACTAAATTCTCGAGAAAATACAGGGGAAAAAGTTATAAAGAAAAGAAAAATGGTTTGGGGCCTAACTCACTAAGTATTTATTCTATCGTAAAATTTATACTGAAACTTTTGAAAGGTAATAAAATTAACTACAAAACAAAAATTATTTGAAACCGAACCAGTATTAGCGATCGTAGAGCATATTTTATTTTCTACACATGTTTTAATTTATTACTTTCCTACCTATACTAGGTAAGGAAAGTATTGCGATCGGGTCAAATTTCCAACATGCGGTTTTCAACGGATGTATACGTTTCAGAGCCACCTGAATCCGAAAATTACTCTTTAGCCGGTTTATATACAAATCGTTCATTTCGGACAACTATTAACAATTTCATATGTATGAATACGGGTCTGAACGGTGAATGAGAGAAAAAAAAGAAAAGTGAGAAAATCTGTTACCCACTTCACACAAGTTCTCTCTCGACTTTTAACAGAAATTATTCTTTGACTAAAATGGGTTAAGGTTAAAAAAGTTTTAATTAACAATATTTATTTTTTTTAAGCTGATCTTCCACAATCTGGTATTACATTTCCTTAGGTTACCTAAGAAATCGTACTTATATCTTTTCTTTGATCAATTTTCAGAATAAAAAATCTAATTAATTTTGTAATGGTCATATTTAAAGATATAAAAACTTTTCTGGAATAGGTAGGAAAGTCGTGTGAGTGGACACACCTGATTATTTATTATACTCTTTTTTGGCCACCATAAGGAATACAAATTTCAGTGGATATATATATATATATATATATATATATATATATATATATATATATATATATATATATATATATATATATATATATATATATATATATATATATATATATATATAATTTTTTTACTTACTTCGTCGGATTTTCCATCGGCGTCCTCAGCAAGAAGCCTGGCTTCCTTCAGTTGGTTGGTGAGCTGGTCCATCCTCTCCTCATCCTGCTGGGATCTGTTCTCCAATACTTTGCACATACTAAGGGTTTAAAAATAAATATAATATTATATAAGTATTTTATTATATTTTGTAATAATTAATAATATAAAATAAAATGAAATACTAGTAAATAACCTATTTATAAACCAATTGAAATTTAGGCAGCATCTGAGCAGAAAAATACATAAAATACAGTACGTGTTGTCTCCAGTTATTCACCATCTTTGGACTACAAATGTGATATGTATCATATGATATGTATGATAAATGGGATCATGTCTTTTTCTGTCCCGGTCATGTCTGACTTGGTGATAATATAAACTGGATGTTTATTTATTGGTATATGAGAGATTTTAAAATTTGGAATTTTTTAACCAGACTTATAAACATAAAGTCAATAATAATAAATTTAAAAATATATTTGTTTTTATTAACAAGTTTTTAGTATTAATATACTTTATCTATCCGGTTATTAGTGCTTGATTACGTTAATGGCGTGGCTCTGATCGAGGTTGTTCCTTAAGTCTATAAAGGATTGCCAAGACATTTAGAAAGGATGAAATTAAATGAAAATATATTTAATTATTCTGGGACTGCTGTCCATTTAAAACAAATTATAAGTACAGAATATATAGATTGTGCGTATCGAACATTAGCAGAGATAGAAATCCAGAGGGAGTGAGGAGGATGATTGATGTCGGAAGTACGAGATATAGTGGGACGTGATTGGATGGAGTATTTAAATTATAAGCTGTGAAAAATATAGGTCGATGACTTCTAATGACCTGGTTCAGAAAGGTAGCTAGAAAGTACTGACGGAGATAGGATGGAAAGAGCCATTTAGGATTGCACTGTACAGTAATGAATAGAAAAAAAAATGATTACGCTCAGGAACAAAACATCTCTAAACCCTCCTGAGCATTACGTTGTAAAAGAACAAACGTTCTAGTGAGTAACCGATATCTTGGTTCTTGGTCAATGGTCCGACAGACGAAGAGGAAGAAATCATAAACTGATACTGTTCAAAACAATCATTCAACCAGTCCTGACTTATTTATGTGTTACTTGGACCCTACGTAAAACTCCATCTGAAATTATTGATAAGTGTGTGAGAAAAGTGTTAAACGCAACCAATAAGAGAAAACGGTGCTCACCGGTTGAGAAGTAACAAAGAGATCTACGACGATTAATACAGAAAAATTATATTAAACATCATGATAATTTGTAATAATACGAAATCTACAAAGCTGTGGAAAAATATTAAGAACTAGATTAACTAAATCCTATGTTCGAAAACCTGTAGATTAAGAAAACAACGACGGCACGGATGAAGGAAGTTCGTAAAGATGTAGGAAGGTTCAATATTTGGGATATTCCGATGATTGACAAGAATACTTTTCGGACCATGATTCAAGGTTTGGATAGGTTTCATCTCTGAACTGGAAGAGTCCAGGCTCCAGAGGACATATCCAGATAGAAGAACGAAAAATGGCGCAGTTCGTCTTAATGAAGAAGTATTGAAGGAAAATAAAACTTTGTAACGTAGGAGAAATAAAATTGTAGCGTTATTCTAAATGGCCAATACGCAAATAAATAAACTAAGAATTACCAATAATTATAAAATATATAATAAATAAATATATTACCGGAAGGACTCGTCGGCAGCCTGGGAGGCTTCGGTCAGCTTCTGGGTGGCAGTGGCCGACCTCTCCTCCGACCTTTCCAGATCTTCCTCAACCATCTGCACCTTCCTGTTCAGTGCGGCTACCTCGCTTTCGGCCTATCGATCATGTATCGATTAAAGTTTACTATCGATTAATACCATATTGATATTATATAGACACAATATTGGTCTACTCACGTTGGTCAAGGCCTTCTCCTTCTCCTCAAGGTCTTTGTTGGCCTGTTCGAGATCGCGCTTGTTCTTCTCGAGGTCAGCTTCGACCTGGGCCAACTTCTTCTGGAGGTCGCGTACATCCTCCAGGACCTGGAATAAGAAGACGATATAAAATAAGCTTTGTCTAAATAATAAATAAATTATTATCATTCATCTGAAATTTTGAGAATGAGAATGAAATATCACAAACTGGATTTAAACCTTCAGGAATAACATGTCAAAAAAAGACAAGAAAAACAAATATATGATTAAATTTACATAATATTGATAGGTTATAAACTATGATTTGACAAAATAAAGGCTTTGGAAATCTTTTGATAATAACCTAATCGTTTCCATGTTGGATGGAAATCAGTTGTTGAAACCTTTTGTTGAATCTATTCCTTTAGCTATAAAACTAAACACACCACAATATAGCTTGCTAGTGGAAGATGATTCAGCAAAACAACAAACATTGGAACGATCAAAGCTTCTATTTTCTCAAAACACAGTTCGTAACCAATCAATATTTTATAAATGTAGTCACAAATTTGTTTCCCTTGCCTGACTTTGACCTATTAATCATGAAAGCCTAAATTAAACTTCTGATATTTCACTCTTATTATAATAAGTAATTATTTCCTGCATTTTAGTAATGTGTTGTTTATTTTCATGGTTTAAGACATTTTATGTATGTAGACTGTTCTATTTTTATAAGAATTTTTTAAGAACATTCTGAAGTTTAGGATTTAAATTGGAGAAATATTAATATCTAAGAATATTGAAGAATCATAACCTCAGGTCGTGAAATGGTGCCGCATGAAATTTTCATTTATTTAAGTTAATTTGTACCAATTTCTATTACTTATGTATATATATATTTTTTTTTTTGCTACGACTTTCTGTATTTAATTTAATTTTATCTTCTAGCTACATTTCCTTGCTTTTTTTTTTTGTTTTTTTTATAGTTGTTTGCCATGTTATGTAGATATATATCTCTTTTTTTTTTGTATTGTATATGTTGTATGAATAAGCCTCACTCAGCTATAGTACTCAGTGCCCTTAAGTATGGAAAAATGTATTATTTACCAATGAAAAGATAAATAAAAAAAAACTTTCCTTCGCAATTTGTCTCATATAGTGTATTTTTAGAATAAATCATTTTTCTTTAGTGTGATATATACCCATCGTCACACTAATCGGTAAAGATGGCGTTTCATCACCTTTTTTACGGACATCAAATGAGAAAATTAGATTTTTTTTGTATGCTTGAGGATAATTAAACGCATCTCGTGGGCAAAGACGTGTAGCGACTTTCTTAGTAAATGAAAATGAAATGAAATGAAAATATTTTTTTATTATGCTGGGACTGTCGTCCCTTTAAGACAAATTACAGATACAGAATAAATGCCTGTGTGACCATAAATAAAATTAATTATTTACAATTCTCATTAAGATCAAGATTTTAGGAAAAGAATACAACAAAAAGTAAAACAATTATACTAAAAACATACTGGTATGTATAATACAAACGTTGGAAAATAAAATAGCATAGTTAAACAAAACCATTTCTGGGGGAACTTTAAAAAGTTCTCTTATCTACATTTCATGATCAATCGGGTTGGGAAAGGAGTAGGTGGTTAAAAAGGAGAGATTTAAATGAGGAAACTGATTATCGGATATCAGGAGGGATAGTATTCCAGAAGGAGACGGCTTGAATTACAAAGGATTTGTCAAACGCTGCAGTTCGGTGGGGAGGTGGATAGAGGTCGGAGGTACGAGATCTAGTGAGACGGGATTGAATGGAATATTTGTATTGTAAGCTGTGAAAAATATAGAAGGGTCGCTGAGTTCTGATGGCTTGGTATAGAAAGGTAGCAAGGAAGTACAGACGGTGGGTTTGGTGGATACAGCCATTTCAACTTGGTGTAATACTGGCTTATATGAGTGTCTCTTAAGATTCCGAAAACAAAACTTATTGCGCGTTGAAAATGGATTTAATGCAGACGTTTACTTTTGTTAACTAAGTCTTTTTAGGAACGAGAAGAAAAAATTAGTTTTTGCACGCATCATAATATTCTTGATTTTCAATTTTATTCTCAAATACTTTTTCCCGATTACTCACTTTGTCTGCTCTCATGTTGGCGTCCTTGGCCTGACCTTCACAGGTGTCGGCCTTGTCCATCGCCGTGTCCTTCTCCATCTTCATCGCCTGCATCTTCTTCTTGATCGCGTCCATCTTGGAGCTGGGGTTAGTAAACTACACCACACGAGAACAAACAATACCCTGCAAAAAAAAAAAAGAAGAAAACATAAATAAATAATAATATTAATAAAATGTATCAGATATATTTTGTTAAATAAAAATAAAGCCATGCCAGTGGAGAACATCGTCATGCCTTTTTATTTTTATTTCATCAGTAATGAAAGGAAGCAAGCTTAGTATTATCTGAAAATAGCCTTGGTCTTGAAGTCGTGGTCTTGTTCTTTTGTATTTTCGAAAGACTAAGACGAAGACAACCTAATTATAGCTAGACCAAGACTGGTTTTCTACAAGATTTCAATAAGAACAAGACTTATTGAGTATTTTGTTTCAATATCGATACTGCTTGACGTTCCCTTGTATCGATTTCAAAACCACGATTCCTTCCATTTAACGATGCTTGATTTGAACGTTTGACAAAGTTGGTCGTTATATCTCCAAACCGTATTGTATTGATTATTATATTTTGAAATATTGTTCGATTCTTTAACATATTAATCGATTAAGTGATTAATCGATATCTGTCTTTGATATCGATATTAGTTATTTATCGAATCTGAAATAACGATATCACCAATATTGTATGATAATATAGGTATGTATGTGTTCTTTTTAGGTTATTTTATTCTTATTTATTGTATATATATTATTTTTCTGTATAATTTGTTTTATTTATTTTACATAGAGTGTGAATGTGATCTCTGAGCACTATTATAAATGTCCTTGAGACAGATTGTAATGGTTTTTCAATAAATAAGTTTAAAAAATAAATATTGTATGATATCTATATCAATATAATATAATTTTTGAGATACTTAATATACAGATAAAAAATATATCGTTGGTTTATTGAAAAACGTCATTAAATAAGTATTGATAACTTTAAATCACTTAGAGCTTCAATGAATTTTCCCTTTGTGAAATAATAAAATGGTATAATTGATGTAACAATTATTGATCTATAAAAGATTTCGTATTATTGTAATACACCTACTATATTTCTTATTGATAAACAAGATCAAAATGTTCTGAAAAAAATCAGTTCCATAAAAAATATAATGGATTTTTTTTTTTACTCGATTTTTTAATATATAGGGTTGACAGGCGCAAATACATGTTTTATAGACAAATATATATGTATATATATTTTTTTTCGGTTGGCACTACAGACCATGAAGATCTTTGGCCGCGAGATGTGGTCTCCTTACAGACGTGTGATACTTGAGGGAGCTCAGATAGCCTGGAGGAGGTCACCCAACCTCACGTTGCTACGAATCATGGTTTCCATGGTGCAGCGGCTGGCATCCCGTTGCTTCATAGCCGATCCCTTATGGGCTAATCTGGCAATGTCCTTCCCACCGACTTTCTCGGGTTCAAGGACAGTGGCAAATCGGTCTACATCCATGGATTATGGCTGTTCGGAGTCACAGGCTCACGAGGACCTATATTTCTTTCCCCGAAATAGACCGTCCATGGACTGAACCTCAGGGGGGCTATTAACATCTTGGTAAACCACATACCAATTCCCGATTTAAGTACACGGGGTAGGGTCATCAGTCCTATGCCCGGTCGGTGTGAGTTGCCTCCAGTATAATGTCGGGCCACACATACCCGGAGGGGAGAGACTCGGGCAGCATGGCTTTCCCTGGTATAATTATAAATCATCATTATAAAGTTTTTATTGGTGCCGACGTTTGAACCAAAACATGTGGGTCATCAGAATCTGTTACGAGGACTGAGTAATCAAGTACTAACTATACTAGAGGACTTGCCGAGTTGAAACTTCGGCACAAATAAAAACATTAATAATGGCTGTATCCTGAATATTTATCATCCATAAAGTGAATTCTGTTCGAAATTATATATTAGGGTTATTTCGACATTAAAATAATTTCGAATCCTTTGTTTTGATACAATATTGGGCGATATCGAAAGGTGTATATCGATTTCGATATTATCGCAACATCCCTAATCGCTACAATACTCTTCACCCTATTAGACACATATAGTTACTAACAAAATTGACAGGCTTTTATAATAGAATTATTTGAAAATAATTTTTTGATTTCAACAATTTTTCTCTATGCAACTAACTTGAGTCAAAACTCCTTGTTATCGATCCCCGTATTTCATTTAATAAACCATTTCTTGAAGGTCTGTACCGTTGCAAGCCAGAACTATAGAGTTCAACAAACGCCCTGCAGGCAATAAGAGTATCATATTTTTAGAACCTCAATGTATATATTTGCAATACATGCGAGCACTCTTTGACAATTATTGATGACATCCGAATCCCGCTTTGAATTTAGCGAAGCAATTAATTATCCCCGTTAAATGGAAGGTAATTGTATGACTGCTTCAATTAGGATTAATGATCGGGTATAGGTTGGAAACCGCAATCAACAGAGAATTTATTTCCAAGGAAAAATATATTGATCCTTTTCAAAGTGCCTTAGAAGCCAAGAAAAAAACTATTTTTATAAATTTAAAAAAATACATATTAGCGGTATTAATTAGACCAGTGCTAAGTATAGTAAATCTCGTAAATGTGTTGAAATCGAGAAACTTATTGGAGATTAGTGTCTGACTACTTCAGCACTTATCTAACCTTTAAATTAAGTAAAAAAGACTCATATATATATGAATATATAAGGCATTTATCACTGAATCCAGAGAAGATGCTAGTGTGGAGGAGATACTGAAAATAGACACTACGAAAAAATAAACCAACTGTATTACTTCATACAGGGCTGTTCATTGAACTATTAAGAGGTGAAGTAATCATATAACATATATTAATTCTTATTTATATTGTCATTTGTCTTATGCCTCTCGAATATTTAAAAAAAATGTTTTACTAATCTGTTATTATATTAGTCATACTTAATGCTGTGGACATTGTTAATGTTATGTTTGAATGCAGTACTAGACTCAAGATATAACATTGTTAACTATACCATTATATTTATTTGTACAGGAATTTCCTTAGACAAATAAAATAAACTATCAATCTAACTATATATGAATATAGTATGGCCTATTTAGGCATATAGCATTGGGCGTTGGGGCTCCACTAAACGATCGAAATCCTCTCGTATCGATTTTTTACAATCTAAAAACCTTCGTAAAATCCAAAGAGATCCTTACTTTGCTATAAATAAAATCATCCATAACGACTTTAATGTTCCATATGATTCAGATTTGGCTCGATCTAGATACCTATCTTTCCCTATCCAGATACCTATCAGATATCAGGTACACGAGTTCAAACGTTTTTATTTTACATTAATTGCAATTTACATTAATTTTAATTACATTTTATTAAAATTTATTAGCTGAAATTTGTCTTTAAAAATTTCTTTTCTCTTTCATAGGACTTGGAATTGACTGATGAACTGGAATTTCGAAATTTTAACCTTGTAATAAACGAGCTTACATATTTAGTTGTCCTTTGAAAAAAATAAATTGATTTAAATTACTTTAAAATAATAGAATATAGTGCATATTTTATTTAAATCATTATTTCTGTTACTGTACCTAATTATTTTGCAACTTATCTGTGAACTTTTTTTAAACTTGACTCAATATATAAAAACCCCATTTTTTTTTTTTTTTTTTTTTTTGTTCTGGTGTTGTATTATTTTGGATTCCCTGGGGATCATACACTATCATTTATATAGTAAGTGAGGATGTCTTTCATTAATTATTTATTCAATTTTAAATTTTTCTATAATCATCTTATCTTTTTATCTACATTAGTGGAATTACTTTGGTGCGAAGTTGTATTGGGTTCCTGCCGTTTGAATTTTTTATTTTTTTTTATTTTAGGAAAATTTTGGTTATGCAATGTCCATAGTTTAATGTGGTTTATTATTGATAATTTAAAGGAATTGTGTTTTGAAAAGGGGAGGAAAAAAAGGAAAGGAAAGATATATCATATGTATAAAAAAAAAAAAAAATAGAAAAATGTAATATAATAGGTATATCCATATGGATTGATAAGTATGCTGTGTATGAAGCAACCCTATCTAGTAGGGCAGCATTACTTTTAATAAAGTATTTCTCTCTGACAGAAACTGGCGGATAAACGAGATACTATCCATTGAATTTTTTTTTTGTTTTTCTGAAAAGTAATTATTTGACAGTTACTTTGTTCAACACTGATGCCAACAATATGACATTTAATCACATTCAGATAAAATATTTTAATAGTTAAAATTTAGAAATCTCGAAAAAGGCATCGGATATTTACACAGTTGATTACCGAAACTGTATACCTCACCATAGAAGATTTACAAAGCATAGAACAGCTTTAACACAAATAAATATTCTCTCACAAAATCAACCAAACTCACTTTAATTAGATCGGCTGTAAACAATTGATCTAACTACAGGCAAATTTATCTGAGCCGGAATGAAACTTTTTTTTAGCATCATTGAGCAACCATGTCTGCATGATATTTGATCCTCTCACTAAGAAATGTGTTGGGATAAATATTTAGGCATATTAGATTTGAGTTGAGTATTTTTTCAATTTGTCTATGATATGTTACATTATCTATTATCTGGTTGAAGAGAAAAACTTTATATACGATTATCAAAGAGAGCAATAACTTGAAATGTAGTTGGATGCCTTTATGTAGTTTTAATTGTATTTTAAATATTTTCCTGACCAATGTGAAGGCTTGAAACAACAATTCTAAATCTCCTTCAAGGTGGTATTTCTCAAAGAAAATCGTCTTCGGCTATGGAAAAAAAAAAACCGACAAAGAGGAGGAACAACTGGATCTGTGTGTATATGAAATATTCTATTTGTGGATTTGACAGATTTGTTTTATCGATGTCGGAACAAGCCAAATCTAAAATAGCCTCTGAAACCCAAGACTGCTCTTCTCTATTCTTGTATGCTGGGCTCCCTCAATGCCCAATATCGTTGCTTTTGTGGTCAGCATAATGTTTCTAAAAATTTAGGTGTAAATTGGAAAATTCGTTTTCCAAAGGAAACATTATGTGAAGTTGTATAT